AAAAAAGATCTGGATTCCTATTTCCTCCAGAACTCAGTGCTCTAAATGTGGTATCTGAGCAAACACAAGCTCTTGACCTCAAATCTATATTCTTCTCCGAGGTTCGTCCACTAGGATAAGGAACGCTGTGTAGCGGTTAAATACAAAACAAGCCTGAAATTGGTACCTTCTGAGGTTTGGTTCTGACCAACCTTTGAAACAAGATTGCTTTCAGTCAATTGGTTATTTCAGCACTTGACATCACTCCCACATAAAACAAGGCAAATGGCCAATTAGCTAACTGGAAGTTTTCCAGTTCAAAATGGTGCCAAAATGAATGAAGATGAAGTGGAGTAGAAAAAAAAAAAAAGTTTAAATTGGCTGAACAGTCAGCTCTCTATGGGAAGCTGAAAATAGAAATCAGTTCATGGAACTCAGGAGCTTCACTATCTTCTATTTGGGGAAGATCAAACTTCGGCATTTGCAAGTTAAACAGGGATCCCCAAGGCTTCTAGAGAGTACTTTTATAAAAAGAGGTTTTATACAGGACCTGCATATTTTGCAAATAAAACTGTAGCACATTAAATTCTAATCACATTCTATTCATAGCATCTGAAATCAGAGTATAAATTTGCTTCCTACGGATAATTATCTGGAATGGAGTTTTAATCTCATATGTATGCCATTACCCCTATGCAAACACGGATAAATTTTGGCTTTTTCTTTTCAGCAGCATCCAGCTCTTTTGACATTTAAGTGGTTGTGAGTTGGTTTTAAATAAAGACAGCCTAAAGAGATCAGATATGTTAAGCAGTAGTACCTGAACCGAGAAAGAATACAACACAACATTGTAGAATAACCTCTTTGCTTGGGAAATAATGCTCAAATTCCAGAAGGAAAAGTAGTTAAATCACATCAGCGTTGTAAATACAATTTCTATAAAAGTCAATGCAGCTTTAAATACACCTATCAGGCCCCTCATGCAAACTCAGGCTACATCAGAAATGAATGCAAGTATTCTAAATAGGAAAAATTCTCCTGCAGAAAATTTCCCATTATTATAAAACTGTTAATTATGTTAAGGAACAGCAATTTAGTCTTCTGTCAATGACAAAACATAAACAGGAGACTACAGTTCTAGTTAGATATACCAAGATTTACTTTGAAAGACAAGTTATGGGGGATTCTGTTTTGCTTTCAGACCGTCACAGCTGTTGGGCCAGCTCAGAGCAGCGACCCAAGCACGGCCCAGGTACACAGTGACAAGGCTTCAGCACCACTTGCTCTTCCCAGCAACACCCAAATCTTTGGTCTCAGATCAACACATGAAATAGGGACACCTTCTAAACAGTACTCTCTACTACAACTTGTATGAAAAGGCCACGATCATCATAAAACAAAGATTACAAACCTTCTTTTGTGAAAAAGCAACCACATTCCTAAGATAAAATAAATGTAAAAAGGAAATATATTATTCTGACTTATTTAAATTGCCTTCATCATCATCAAAAAGTAAAAGAAGAGTCAACTTTAAATACTACTGTCATATTTTTCATTATAAAATTATTATAAAATTTTGGCTACCAGGTTCACTATCAGGTCCATTTGCCAGTGTTCACTCTGACAAGCAAATTAGCTCTGCATTTAAAAGAAGCCCTCTAGTTCCAGTGAAACCCAAACAGTGCTTTATGGAACAGGTTTTTCTGCTAAGTAGATGCCTAATGATGCAGACAGATAGCACCAACAATTTTCAAATTCCTCAAAAGATCACACTTCCCGTAATTTTTCTAGCAACCTTGTACATGTCCTTTAAAACTTTTTTTTTTTTTTAAGTTACTCTGGATAAAAAGAAGGCTTGTGTGTTTTCATAGCTTTTATGAACTGTCAAAAGAACGATGTATTCAGAGAGGAGATCATGAACTCGTCGCAGGTTCTGGCACTCACAGCAGCTAGTCATGAGGGCAAGTACCTTCACACTGCTGTTTGCGAAAGAGGCTCAATTTGACCCCACCAAATTTTAGAACCACAAAAGACGAGAAGTTGCATGAATCCAAATAACACTTCAAATACGGATTTTAAAAGCACTGGTAATCTAACATACAGCCAGACACAATGTACCTACTGGTATCCACCACATCACACAAGACTGACCCTAGCAAGGAGCTGAACTTAGAAGCAATTTTTAGCTGTGGAGCTGTTACTGAAATGATTAGTTACAACAGCTCTGAGCAGGCAGATCACTTCACCAGTGTGGATCTGTGTAAGATCAGGGCCTAAACACGTTTCTTCCCTTCATCTGGCCTCAGCTTCAGGAAAAAAACATGCTTCCCCCGCCCCAGCTCCCCATGTCAATGGACATTAAGCATATGTCACCTCGCTTTTGGAAAACATTGCATTATTTAACTTCATTACCGCTTGTTGAATTGCTTTCAACCAGTTCTCACCTTGCAAAAAACTTTTGAGTGCATTAATATGGCACATGCTTGAACTCCACCATATGTGAATCGTGTGGGTCAGCAGTGGGACATTACTTATGGAAGGAGACGGGGCACAGGGCAGTGGGTCGCCTGCCCCCCCCCTTACACACCTCTGGCTAAATTTGTTTCTATCCCTCCAGTCTCCAGAGAGCCCTTGCCTTCCCTGCAGAAGTGTCTACTCCCTCTCTCCATGTTGCTTAACCCTCCAGAATTATCTCTGACCTTTCTGCTCAGCCTGGTGGAACTTGGGCCGTAGCGATGGCAAAGGCACCCCCGAATCTTCAACCACAGCTGCCGCAGCACTTCAAAGGCAGCAACCACAGCTAAGGATTTAGACTGCAGCTGGAATCTGAAGGCTCAAGGTGGGGTCCCCAGGGATGAGCAAAAAGAGCAAAGCTCATTTGTAAGGATTAAAACGTGGACAGGTAATAGATCTAAATGGGGCGGGAAGGGTAGGGAAAGGCAGGGAGGGTGGAAGTCAGTATACAATACAGAAAATCTGAGGAGGTTAAGAGGGGCAGCAAAAGGAGGGGCGGGGGGCACAGAAGACAAGAGATTCCTGGTTAGCGTAAATAATATGCATGTATGTTAGGGAGGAAGAGTGAGAGCAGCTTGCAAATGTAAACAAAAATATCTTCAGACAACGTAGGGCTTTAACAGAAAATGGTGAAAAGATCAATGGGAATAAAACACAAAAGGATGTACAAGTCAAAGACAGCTAGAAAAACAGGCACTGAGAGTAAAAGATCATGATGAGATGGAGACATAAAATCCATGTGTAAAATGGCTTGGACTGGGACATGTATCACAGCCTTCATACTGCAGGATTACGCCACATGTAAAAGCAAACAAGTTTTTCATTATTCAGGGTAGTAATGGTCTTTGTGTATCAAGTTATGAAAAAGCATTTTCTTCTGAAAAGTAAGATTACAGAAGTTTTCAAGAGAAAAGCACTGTTTGGTTTTTAAGACCATGGCAGGCATTACTTGGGGAACAGGACTATGAAGTTGACTCACATGCACTAGAGCAAGACGGCTCCAGCCATCTAGCTGAGCCAGGTTGGGCTCAGCTCCTCAGGAGGAGGCAGTTCTCATGAATATCTGAACATATGGGCAGAGTTCAGGACACAAACACACCAAGAAATCCAAGGGTTCAGAAAATCTTACCACGTGCTTTGGAGTGCATAAACTCACAAACTTATCAGCTACTTCAGAAAAACTGTTTCAACAGACTTTCTCATCTGGTGGTAGTGGAGGAGAGTTCACCTTTCAATTGCGTTTAACTACAAGGTAAAGCTATGCAGTGGGACATGAACTCCATGGGACAGGAGCAAGACCACAGACTGTAACCCTAGAACAAATAATTTACTGCAAATTCACACCTACCTTAATGTAGCGTAATCTCTCAATATCTCAGTTTGTTTCTTAGAATTTCCCACATTTGAATGATAACATATTACAACACTAAGTCATTATCATGTAGTTATAAAACTATGTGTCAAGCCGCATGTTGAATGGTTTAAAAATGAACTTAGCTTTTCAATGAACTTGGAATACACCAAAATAATAACAAATAGAACATTTTTGCCATCTGCAATCTTTTTTTTTTTTTAACACGGTTAAAATAGTTTAAATATTTTATTAAACTACTAATAGTTTAATAGTTCCAACTATTAAGCACTTGCTTGAACAGCTTAATAGGAACACTCACTTGAAGGACCTTACCATTTTCACTTATGCTAAACAAGCTTCCTTCACTCAGCCTCATTAATTTTCTAAATCTCCAAATGTTTTGTTGTACTTTATAAGAAAACACACTCTAAAGTTAAAACAGGAAAAGATTTCTTGTTTGGAATCAAGTTGGCTTAATGGGTTTTTTTTTTCCTCTCCTTAGCTTTCTGTTCATCTGTGCCAGCAGAGAACTACATGTCTAAAAGAGATTGCTATAAAAGGAACAGAGGAGAAATGCGATGATCACAGAGCAGACAGCTTTTTATCTGTCGTTTACTCTGAACTAGGAAGAAAAGAGTACCAGGCCAAAAGTCATTCAGTTAGTTATTAAAAATGACTGATCCTAATTGATCTATCAACAGTTTCTAATGCATGCTGAATATATCACTCAACATTTACAGCCCAAACTGTTGATGGAGGTTCATCCATATTCATGAAGATATATGAGCATATCTACTACTGCAAGAAGTAATGCTGATGTGGTAATAAAAATACACAAAAACACTAGCATTTTTCAGATCATCCATGGAGATAACTTGAGACTTCAGAAAAGTAACTGGTTTTATATTACAGCTTTATTTCAAGCACTGTTTCTTACTGGATACAATTTATACATTTTGCACTATGTATATATATTAATGGAATACTTTTCAAATTACCCCTAGATAAAATATATTATGAGCTTGAAAGTATTCCAGCAATAGCTTTTCCAAGTTACATTTTGCTGACTGAGTTAGTTCAGATCACAGGAGAAAAAAAAAGAAAAAAAATTTTAAAATGCTTTGGCAAAATACCCTTCCATGGTGATGTCTTTAAAACTATTTTGAATGCATGACTTCTTCATCCATTTTTATTTTGGTATCAGTCACATAGATAGGAGGAAACATATAAACACTGTTATACTGCTTTATTTAAATATAATTTAAAAGAATATAGATCTTAATTTTTCAAAGTGTGTGGTCTCACGTTTGAATTTCAGCCAGTCAAAAAACTGCCTGCTGCTTCTTAACGTAGAATGGTGCAACAAGTTTTTGAAACCTTTAATTGCATTGTTGGGATGGTCACTGTTAAAACAAAGTTCCTGGTAATCCCAGAGCCTGTGTCAAGGTAGGAGGACCGCCAAAGGTATCAAAACAAAGAAGAATAGCATGGTCATTGAACTGCACACATTGAGCTTCTAGGAGGATTAACGGTTCTTGTCACAGGCTCCTGACTGTAGTTGACAATATCTGCCTTCACCACCCTCTGTCACAAAAGAAAACACAGTAACAATCAGAAAATATAATCTTCGTGCTGGCAAAGCATTAGACAGATACTTGACTATGAAATATGAAGGGAAAAAGATTAGGCAAAACAGACACTGCTTAGGGTTTTTTTCATTACCTTACAGAAAGTCTTATCAGGTGCTAATTCTTGTTCTAAATACCAGTTTATCCGTATCAAGCAGAAAGAAGTGCCTTGGTAGGTTTTCACAACAGTACCAATGGAACATGACTTTTTTGCAAAAGCAATGAATACAGTTTTACTTCAATGAAAATTGTTTTGTATGGAAATAATAATAAAAAATATTGTTTACAAAGACTATGGAACAGCCTAAATTTAATTGTAAATTGTACGCAAGTTTGTCTTTCCATCTTTACTCCAAGCACTTCACAGGAAATATGGACAGAATTCAAAGCAAATTTCAAATACAACCATATTTCAAAAAAGCTTTGACAGGCAGACTGACTAAAGACTAAATTAACATAAAAAGAACCTCTGCATACCATAAATATTTATTTTCTAGTACAGATCCAATAGATACTACCCATTCTATTTACAAAGCATTTGATAAGACTGTTGGTCTCTCCTTTATGAGGAGAAGGAAATGAGATTCCAATTTTGTGTCCATTTCCATCTGAGGCAGCCACGGAACATTTTGAATATACAGCACTGCAGGACCTTCCTAATACAGTAACGTGAAGTATTTCAAAGTTTCTGTGAACTGTCTGGTTATTAGAAACACCATGTAATTGTACACAGAGTTCCAAATTAGTATGTTAAGTATTACAAGTGCTTACAGACACAAAATATATTTTTCCAATAGAACTTACTGTAACAGTTGTTACTTCATGTAAAAGCAATGCAGCTTGAAAAAAACCCCAAGTTTTCCATCAATACCTGAACTACTGCATTGAGCAGACTTTGCTCTGGCAGTTGGAAGCGCTGTGACGTTGGTTATCTTCTTCAGGATATTTCACTAGTTCTGCCCTGACAACATGCTGTTAATCATGTATCAACATAATGGATAGAGGGCAAGGAGAAGAATGTAAAAAGAAAAGAGAAGGAAAAAAATGGAGAGATTGATCAGTAGTTGAAAAGAATGAATGAATGACATAAAAAGACTATGCCGAAGCAAAACGAAAGTGCATTTATTTTCGGGCCTTATGCTGATACAAGAGCAACATGTCTAGCTGAAAGTGTCACTATCGGCATCAGGGCTGCTTCTCAAGCTTCTTCAAGGACATGCCCTTTCAAAGCACCAAGTGAAATATTCATACATGCAATCAACGGAAGCGTATTAAAGCAAGAGAAGGGACAGAATAAAAAGGAAGGCAGTTCAGTGGAAAAGAGATGACAATGGCCTATTTCTTTAAGTCTAAGGTACTTAAATATTACAATAGCCAGCTTCCTATCAAAAATTCTAACAAATGCATTAGATGTACACATGCATCTTTTCCATTACATAACTATCACATTGTAACTAATATACAATCAAAAACAGTGACATAAATTAACAACCTCACATCTAAGTGCTGCAAGCTTTGATTTTTCTTTACTTCATATAAAAATAAAAGGCGCTCATTTTCCCCCTTAAACTGTTGAAAGTTTTCTCGCTATCAATACAGTGTTCATGCAAAGGGGGAAAAAAATCATAGAACAATTTCAGCAAAGAACAGAGGAGGTAGGTCTGCTATGAAAGATACCCTAAAACAGTTTAATAATTCTTTCTTAAATACTTCAACTTTAACACAATTTATTTTCAAGGTTAAAATGAACAGATAAATGAATAAATACTATTTTTTAAAGGAAACAATATATAAACTGGATTACATGAATATATAAACAGTATATGTTAAAGATTACCTCTGTAAATAAAACCTATATGTCAAACAAGCAACAATAACTGAATTGGCTGGTAAGGGATCTGGATTTATTAGCTTCTGATGTACTCTCCTTGAGTTTAGTTGATCACATTCATATTATCTTATCTAGTGGACAACACTCGTGATTTACTGGACTCCTGGCCTGATGTTATCAAGGGAAAGGTTGCCAAATCCCATGTAAGGCGGTAGTAGGAGTTTTAGCATTAAACAGTGTTATCTGACCCCACAGGACCTAGTTTCTTCATACCAATCTTTTGAGTAGAGATGGGGGGGGGAAGAAGGGGGAAAAAAAAGCCTTGCAATCAGTAGGCAATTAATTGTTCCTCAAAACATTGGTCTAAATCCCATCCTGTAAACACAGGCAGGTTAGTGACCCATGCTTAGGCACGTTGTAGCAAGAAACTGACTATCATAAATGACTTGGATTTTCTAAAGGAATTTCACCTAAATAAGAGTAAAAAAAATACCGCCGCAACATTTCTTATATTAACTTCATGGTAATTAAAAACTTGGGCTTCTTTGTAACAGTTTCTATGTCAGGCATATCATTGCCATGGTTTAAACCACTGTCGGTAATAAGAAATAACCTTTCTTGGTGCAGGTGCTCTGAATTCCAGATCTGACTTATCTGCCAAACTTTTTATTGTAGAAAGCTGGCACACACACCTTAGTTTGCTGAACTGGCATTTAGTTAAAGAGAAAACTACACATCACTTACAAAAATGCTAGCTCTTGCCAATGCCAAGGAACAAAGCTGTACCCCATGCAGTTTTTACACTACGGTTGAAAGTAAAAAATATAGAAAGAAAAACATTTGATTAGTAAAGGAGCTATTTCCTCAAATTTCATCAGACCCTTGCGATTTAAAAGGGAGAGTATTTTGAGGACTGAAAATAAGTCAGAATCTGCAATTTTCTTACTTTGGAACTGTTCCACTTCAAAAACATGCTCTACTTTCCAGTCACGCATAAAGAGTAATCTAGTTCTTTGTTTCACCACAGTTTTGTCCAAATAAGGGTTTGATTAACAGTCATCTCAGCATGTTAACAGACAAGGTTTAGTAGCTCTAGCTGAGATAGCTTAAAAACTTACCACCCCCAAATGTCTGTCCTATTCCTCTGCTGGAGATCACTGCTGCCAAAGGAGAGCTGGTGGAATGTAACGTGTACTTGCACCTCATCCGCTTCAGCACAAAGTCTGGCAGCTTCACTTAAAAACAACTTTTAGCAGCAGTTTAAGCTAAGCTGCTCAACTTCACCCAGATGTGGCCAAGGCACATGATCACCTTCCATTTTCTGATTCTGCTGTGGGAGTGATAAATTCCAGCAAAAGGGCAGTAACAAATAGCTTGGGTTGCATTAATATCTTAAACTGCTGCAGCTGTTTTCTAAAACAATGCATGGTAAATAATTCAATTTCTAAGGCTTGTTCTTGCCGTTAATTAACAGAGGTTGTGCTGTTAATTTGAAGGGGACCAAGAACCCCATCCACTTTTCACAAGAGCTTCTGCAGTTCTGCCAATCATCAAAGCTCAAAAGTCATGAGTAAGCCCCACAAATTCATGCGAGTTAAAATAATGCGTTTGGCATTCCTGTTACTTATTTCTAACCACCTGTGAGTCACTTCCAAGATCCTCCCAGTGACTGTGACAATTATAATTGATTGTAAGCACAAGAACTATGATCTTCAGGCATAAAATCAAAGTGCCACAAATGATTTTTAAAGAGTATTCTCTATATCATACAATCAGTAATAATGAAGAAATACATAACAAAACATAATTCACGCATAGCATTTCACTGTTGGCACTTTACACAAACTCAGTATTACATCTTATACTTTGCTACCACCTAGATTGAATGAAGATGTCTGATATCCTCCGACAAGCATATTCAAGCAACAACCTTCTCATTTTTCAAAATAAGGAAATCTCACATGACACAAAATATGGAAAATTCAAAGATATAATCCAGCACGTAAATAGTGCACATTTGTAAAAACTAAAATGTATTTTACTCTTTGTTTAAAGAGTAAACCCAAGTCAAAACTTACATACTTAACTGATTTAAGGGTCACACTTACTATTGTATTGTTTTTATCTGCTTTTTTAATAGCATTTATCTAGCATTCATCTATCTATCTATCCACTTTTATAATCCAATAACTAGAGTATTAAATGCCTAAAAATTTTAAGGAACGCATTCACATAACTGTTCCACAATTTAAAGAAGCCCTGTGCCCAGTTCACAGATGGGGGGGAAAAAAAAAAAACCCACCACCACACTAAGGGACCTGTACTTGTCATAAAAAAAGTCTGTGGTAAACCAGAAACCTAGTAATGGCAACATCATCTAACACCACCTCCTTCCAGCCAAGAGAGCAGCTCCATGCTTCTGGGAAACAGCACCTACACATTACTTCAATTAGGCTTTCCCACTGCAGACTAATAAATTTCTCTCAAGAAATGTCTTCTATTCATCTCCCTGAGGATATGAAGGTTAAAGTTTTCCTTCTCCAGTTTTATGTAGAGACTTTCCCTTTCCTATCTTATGAAGTGACCAGGGTATTTGGTTCCATTCAACAATGAACCTTAAGATACAGCTGACAGACAGTCACTCCAATACAATTCCCATTGGTTTCTCAGTGACTTAAATTAGGGCAATTCCTACAGCCCACTCAAAATAGCACTCTCAAAGGAAGCAAACATTTACTGGTAACAAAGAACTATTGCTTGTACGGAGTAGATTGAAACTCTGCTCGATCAGCAGAACTTTGCAAAGTTGGGCAGTTGCTTTCCAGCTCTCCCTCTTTAGCCACATGCACAGCGTAGCCCCACGTAGTGACTTCTGCTGTACCTCAATGGCGACAACGAAGCTTCTCTTCTGTCCAACTCCATTTACTGGCTTTGTTTATTCTTTTATTGCTGTTCTTGCTTTTTCACAGTTTTTTTACCTTTTTTTTATCACTATAGCTTGGATTCACATTAACGATAATGTATGGGCCACAGTGAGTATTTAATTTATGCATATTAACTATTTATAGGCTATTGCTACTGCAGTTTGCATAATACTGACTTTGATCCACATATTGCATATTCCATTGATCTGCTCAACAAAATTGAGAACTGTAATTACAATACTAAGGTAGGAGGAAGCCTACTTAAAGGTGATACCAATTTCACATAGAAAGTTATGTTCTCTTGAATCAGGTCTATACAGAGGTTCTTACTTCAAAAACAACCTAAAAATAGACACTTTCTTTAGAAAGCTACGATTTTCTGTACAACCCCATTTATCATATTCTCTTTTTAATTTAAGGTATTGGCATACCTATCTACAAGCTTACATGTAAGCTACCGGAACACACCACCACACAGCAGAGAGGTCTAAGAATGACATTCCAGTGTTAGCTAAACAATCAAAGAAAAATTAAAGAACTCTTTGTGCTGAATATTTATATGCAAATAATCATAGAGCTCAGATCAATAGATGGACGGTGCCTTAGTAGTAAAAGATAATTGAAAAGACACACTCAATATTTCTCTACCTATAAATTTCAGCTTTTCAAAGTTCCTTGGCTTTGCTTGTTAGGTATGCACTGTAAGTACATTTTACCATTTTACTGTTTGCAATACAGTTTTCTAGTTAACCACTTCAACACAGATTGTAAACACTGCTGTGGCAAAACACTTTCAGAAATTACATATTTATTGTATGTTTCAAAAAGCAGGAGACCAAGCTGTACCTAAGAAATGTTTTGCCTTTTTTTTTTTTAAATAAGCTTGTTGACTTATTTTGTAGTACTTGTTTAATGTTGGCAGTAACTAGCAGTTCCAGGATATTACACCACTGGAACAGCTACCTTTTGGTTCAATAAGTAAATTTTTAAAAAGCGTATTGTAATCTCAAATGTCATTATATAGTAAGGGTTGCCTCAGTAGTATAATCTTTGGTTTTGAGGTTTCTGAAATTAGGTTTGTATAAAATCTTTTTGGTTTAAACCTATGCAGACAGTCTTACTGGCAGGAAAATTATTTTTAGAAGCAGGAACTAGGAAGAAGGAGGTGGTAAGGGAAAAGGGGTTATATTAGAAAACCTCTTGCTTGCTTGCTTATTTGAACAATTAACACATTTTTGATCTCCTAACTTTCACTGATAAAAACTAAGTGACTTCCAACTCTGGTAGATACAGTTAAGCAAGTACTCACATTTTAATTAATATAGTTACAGTTCAATTTTTTTAAAATAGCAAAAACATCTTTTCCCAAATAATTCGTAAGGTCCTAAGCCTTACGAATGCTCTCATTAGAGCCATTTTGCATACAGCAATAACTGAACAGCATGAACTGCAGCAAAGCTCTGCTACAGTTCAGAGCAGGATATGCAGCAGGGTTTTGCCATGTGTTCACAGCGAAATCGCTATATTCACATCCCTAACTCACTGCTAACCAATGCAAGAGAATGAGGGACAACTTTCTTGACAACCTTCCCACCTATTGCTGGGAAACATTCTCCCCTCTCTCAGCCCTTTCCTACTGCAGAGGAAACGGCAGAAAATCCCCAAGATAACACTCATAACACAAAGGACAAAACACAAAATGCAAGGGCAGAAACTATGCAGCTCCTTTAGGGGGAGATTATTTGGGACTGGTACTGTGCAAAAAATAATTGCAGATGCCAGGGAGCTGTAATAGCTACCCAAACGCATGATTCCACAGGTCTGCCTGCTGTTGAGTGGGGGTATACTGAACCTGAATAGGATTCATTTCTCATTTGCACGAGAATAAAATGGGAAATAGTGACCTTACAAAGCAAATATTCCTTCCCCGAGGCAGACAGTCACTACTGAGGTCCTGTATTACACAGGCACACAATGAAGACTAAAATCTGAGATTACCCAAGCATAGGATTTGACATAGTTAATTCCTGACTCTCTGATAGACAAATAATATTATTTTTTCCTGTATGACAACAATGAAGATTGATTTAGAACATTTCCACTCAGAGAAGCTTATGCCTTCTATCACTTAAATTTGTAGCGTTCCAAAATGAAAAGTTTTTAAGTATGTAAAGAATTTGAAAAGAATAATTGTCATAAAAACTGTATCTGACATCAATGTATAGTATTTAATGTATATACAAGAGTATCTTCCATGCTACCTGTGTATGCATATAGAGAGAGGTTTTAATTTCTAAACCAATTTTAAGTACTATTTTTAAACAAACAGCGCTCAAACTAAAGTTTTTTCCTAATTTTTTGAACATACATTTTCTTGCTTCAGCAAGTTTATCGGGGTGAATAAATAAAAAAGCTGTTGTGAAAGTAAATAATTGTCTTCAGAACAACAGATGCAGCTTGTTTTAAAAGACAGTTATTAAATCGCAATGAGATATTTTTTAAATACCAAATAAAATACTAAGAAAAAACATGTATTTGTGGAAAATCACCTGTGATTGTTCCAATTCTGCTTTGTTTAATTTGATGCCAAGTATGTCAGCAGCAATTCTCTGAAAACACAGGAAGACCTATGGAAAAAAATTAAATTGCATTTAAATGATTAAAACCAGACATCCTCGAGGTTCTTTCAAATATATCAACCATTCTTGAACTGTAAACAATGAGATATACAAAATTATGACCTGTGCAAAACAGATCTGAAAATAACCTCATCTGGTACATGCAATGTTGTTTAAAAATTGGAGAAAATAACTCGACAATGGTACAAGGAATGAACACTATGCTGGATTGTTAAGCAACACTTCTACTCTGCCTCCAGAGACCTAAGTTTAAACAAGCTTTTACACAACCCTCCTCTCAAATACTACTCTCAGTGCTATAAAATATGAATAAGGGTATTCACTAACGTTTAGCACAAAAATATATTACCAGTGTATTGTGCAATAGAGATGTAGGTTTCTGAAATTGAGAACAACAGAACTGTGCACCAACATCACCAAAATCTCTACTGCACGCGTTTAAAAAACATTAGCAATACGAAAGCCAAGCAATGACACATTTGTTCTGAAGAGTCTTACAAAACATCATGGGTGTTATACCGAACAGAAGTATCTAGGATACAAGAAAGATGTTGCATGGCATGCAGCAGCCTGGCAGACTTAGACTTTGGACATGGTTTGACAGATAACACTGGGTGGCAATGCTATCTTAAATAACTCCTTTACTTCATCCCAACGCAGTCCACCAACCCTAGTATTTAGGCAGCTGCATTTTAAATGAGATTAAAGAACACAAAAGATGTTAAAGAGAAGCAGCTTAAGCTTGCGCCGCTCCTGAACACTGTAGTGTCAAGCTACACATTACATTTTACCAACTTGGCTATTCGACTGAGCTCACAATCTAAACTACTAACAAACATTGCTCTTCATCATGCAGCTGCCACTTCCAAAAGGTAAGGCCTGTGTAAGTGCTTTTAGTCATTTTCAATGAAAATTCAAAAAAAATACCATTTACACAATCTCTTCTTACACCTGAGATGGAAACCAGTAACGAATTAGTGCACAACCAACAAACCACAGTAGCTTCCAAAATAATTTCTCTATTTCTGAACTACTCATCTATTCTACTAGCATCCACACAGCAAGAAAGGAAATCCTGGACAGACTTACCTCTTCCAGAGACCTACTTTAACCCACACCAAGCTCTCAGGCGTACTGAGCTAGACCACCTGCCATGAGGATGCTTTGTGCACAAAACATCAGGCACGAGTTCAGTGCTTTAGTTATGCAATTTGATGGACAGTAAGACAGTCAGCTATACTAAATCTTTAATGAAATTTTTTCTCCTGAGGAGACTTTTGGGCTTTTCTATGTACATAAAATTATCTTTTGCAAACGAATCTGTTGGAAAGATCTGAGGTAAACAAAACAAATCATTTATCTTAATAAAGTATTTAAGACTCCTCTGGTCTGTATCCACAGTAGCAATGGATGGCCTCTTCTGAAATCACTGTCTAGGCTAAACACCCTGTCTTTCCTGCACAACTACCCAAATACAGGAAGATTTTGAAAGGCCAGTGTGCGGTAACAGCAAAAGGGTTAATTCAAATCTACTTTGAAACTAAAAATAAACTACTGTAAACCATAACTTATACCTTCTTTTGTTAGTAGGTATTTAAACAGAGATTTCTGGTTGATGCTTTCTAGGTATGTTCAGATTTACTTTTGGTTTTAAACAGTAAGTTAAAAAAAAGTACAATCAGTATATATAGTGGGATGCTGCTGTAATTCATCAATCAATTAAAAAGACCTAATAAAGATTCCTTCATAATTTGTAATGTTAAATTTATCAACCTTATAAAAAGAACTGCTTTTTCTTCCTATTACCAAATCCCACAAAAAGGTTGTCTCCTTGAGAAAGGAATACATTTTATCAGATGCACACATCATTGAGTGAAGTATTATAAAATTTTTCTTCAGTTTCTAGCATAAAAAGCCTGAATTTTCACACTTGAACCAAAAAATTATGCCAAATATTTAACACAAACTATAAGGAGAATCAGGACTCACTGCATTTGTAAGAGCAGTATTGTTAGATTTCACAGAAAAACTATTATCTTATAAAATTAGGCAGTCCATTGTAGAAATTTCATCAAAGACGTTAAAACAACAAGTGATTCCATTTGTGTTACAGAATTATATTTCCATATAATTGAACAAGGTGTTACCATTCAATAACATACAAATAAAGTAAATTATGTTGTCATTCGTAACATTAAGGAGACAGATACAGGACTGTTTTATGGGAATGACAAAGTCATTAGGCATGTGACAGAAATCAAGCAAAACAATACAATGTGATTTAATTTGACTGATACAGTCAACTGAAAAAGAACCTTTTCTTCCATATGCTTCCAACTAAAACAAATAACCCAGTTAGCTCAGAGTCAAAAGACTGTTCAAAAATGTGCTCTGCAAAGCATTACAAATACCAGAATGTTCAAATTCCAATGGACCTGCAGAGGGAGTGTCTCTCATGGCTCAGGACCCATATTAAAAATTTTGATTGCAACAGGGTCTTGTGACATTATCAACTGTTGAAAGTTTCTATATCGATGGTCTATAGATGGGACTCCACCTGGAATGAAGGAATACATTTAACTACAGGCTGACAGCAAACAGAGATCCAGCTGGTCTCAGTTCTCACGCTGATGTATAAGCTAGACCATTTCCATATTAAAATCTATACCTCAAACTGCAAATCAGATGAGAAGCCACTGTAATTAATACAGAATATATACACTCATACAAAGATCTATTTTTCATGCAACTAGGCAGGCAAAAAGGACCTGCAGCAGCCAAAGTCCTCAATGGTTTGACATGTGAAGTATAATAAAAGTGCTGCAGCTTTAAAAAAAAAAAAAAAAAAAAAAAAAGACATCTACAATGGTTTTATTTTTCTTACTTACAGAATCTCCTGTCTTGGCCGACACGAAATGGCTACTGAAATTGTTTTCCTGACAAAATCGCTGGTGCTTGTCAACTTTCACTGTGCGCATATGCTCCAAGTCAACTAAAAACAAGTTGAAGAAAAGAAAAATTACTACAATGGAACCCATTTAGTTACCTGTCTAGAAATTATTCATTGGAAACACAACAGATGTAATCTTTTCCTTTAAAGGTGTATGCAAATGCAAGTTTCTTTCTTTTTATAATCATTTGCCAAAATAAAAATAACTAATTACATCAGATTAATTTTATTTGTAAAACTAAAATGAAACCACAATTAAAATTGTATGGTCAAATGCAACAAACTCTTTTCTGAAATAAAGGACAAATTTATCTCTGGGTACACACAAACACTTTGTAACAATTTTACTGCTAACTACACTCAAGAACCTGAAGACAGAACTAAATTTTGCACATTCTGTTTGCAAGCGTGATGCATATTGGAGATTCCAGTGTAATCTAAAGACTTTTACAAAATAGAGTTCGCCAAGCACATCTGAATCTTCATATTTTTTTCCCAAGTAAAAAATGTAAATGAGTTATAAAGAACTTTATTGCAGAACATGGTAGAGCAAAAACATTCACTATAATAAAAAAACGAACTGAGTAAAACCACTGATGCTTAGTTACTTGTATATGAAGCTTTCAATTCCACAAAGGTATGGTTCAGAAAATTAAAAACAGTAAAATGCATATTTGAAGAGTCACACACATTTTCATTTTTATCATTTTACAACCACTGGAAGCAGAGCAAAGCTTTCAAATGGTATTTTATGTTGAAAAGCACTGGTTGCTTCCAAAACAACATGGAACTCAAGTCTTGCACAGGTTTTATTGTGTACATTCCAGTTTCTCCAAATCTGATCCTAAGGTAACTGGAAACTATATTGAACAGTTTCTCTTTTTATTGCATTACAGTTCCTATAAGGGTGTTGACTCAATGCCGTCAAATTATAAGGCAAATATATTCAGAAGGATTTAAGGACAACCAGGCTCTTTGAGTCAATACAGGAAAAAAAAACTTAAACTGATTTCCTGAGGAAGGGACCCAACTGACTTGTAAAAACTTGTAAATTTGCAAATCTAGTAAGCCTGCATAATAGTGTCATTTGATTATCAGCTGAAAAAATGCTCTCCTAGTACATAAAAGGCTTTATTTTAAAATGATATTGGAGGTCTTTAATTTGTAGGCTCTGGAGATTTTCTCTTGGAGATTTTTTAGTCTAACAGGGGATTCCTACACCCCATTTATACTGCTTACCTTGGTTAATGTGGAGTTTTTGCCACATATTACTGTTCCTTGCACATCAGTAAGGCCTTGTTTATAAGAACAGGCCTAAAATCATCCAGTTACCACAGGCATTAATTTGTGAAGGACTAAAATACTCAGCTATTAACACTAATGTTTGTAGTACAGTTTTTCATAATACTAAACCTAGAATATACAGTTTCATAAAAAATAGGAAGAACAAATACATTTACTAAGAGAAAACCCAAAGTCGATAACAATTTTGTTAAAAACTCATGCAGTCTACATAACAGCTACTTAACTTTTTTCTCTGAAAAATAACTACCAGGAGACAGCCTCTGCTGAAATGTTTTTAAGAATAAAATACAGCATACTGCCTAAACCGTATCGTTATTAACTATTATTTTTACTCTTCACACATTAGCTTTAAGAACAGCTTGGAAAACACAACAGTGAGATTACTCTTTTGGGAAAAATAAATATCTATTTTCCTTATTTTTATTTGATGAGCTTTTAAAGGAACCTTAAACCCAATTTTCACTCACTGTATTTCTTTGACTATGCCCAAAATCCAGAAACCTACACACAATTACAATAAAAATAAATAAACAGATAGATAGCATTTACACTGTATCCCTCTAAAATACCATGAGATGCTTATATAAGTCCACAAAGACAAGCTCACAAGTTACAATCTCTCTCAAACTCTCTTTCCCAGGAAGGTAAGAATAGGGAGTAGAAGAACACAGCCGCATGCTAAAAGGTTGATGAATTTTCAGGAAGACAATGCCGCTGCCATATTGGAAATCATATCCTCAAATGCCTCCTATTTTCTATTTGAAGAAACATCAAGAATAATATATGGTCAGTGGAGCATAGACTGTACTAGAGTAGAGAAATTAAAAGCACAAGATTCTGGGATCTAACAGACTGGAAGTGAAAATCAAGGCAAAATTACGTTTCTGAATTTTGTGTAATTCTCTGTCCCTCTCCCCACTCACAAGTATTTCACCCTGTGCATTCTGAATGATGGGCAGTCTGCTGGGAACTGTACAGTTAGTGTTACACTAGGTAACTGCCAGGTAAGTGTCCACGTGCACACTCTCAGCCCACAGTAAATGCGAGGCAATTCATGTTACGTTAGCTCTCAATGAAAGAGGGCACAGTTTTAGCACAAGAAAAGGGTTTCAAGTGTTAATAAATATTTAAGTATACAAAGTTGCAGTTTGCAGTCAATGAAAGACAACTATGCTAACTCAAATTACTTTGCATTGCCATAGGCTAAGGGCAAAATCATAGACAGTTACTGAAGACCAGCTAAAATACAGTGAAAAGTTACCCTCCAGTCCTTTTTTTTGAACATCTGACATTGGTCGACAGGCAGAATTCTTAGCACACCAGGAGATAAGTCTTGTTCAGCTTTTATTTAGACATCACAGCAAAAAGACTTTAAGGAGGGATTTGGAGGAGAAAAATGATGTTCTAAGATGATGTTTATAAGGAATTCAGGGACTTTATAGAAAGAAAACTAACAGCTGGCCAATGTGGGCTCATATGATGAGCCAATTAACAGCAGGAATAGATATCTTGGGATGAAGGATGATCCTAGAATGCACTTAAGCCATGAAAAGTTTAAAGGCAAAGACAAGTAAGTTTTGAATAGAAAAGAAAGAGAATCAGACACATAAATACAGTTTGATTTTACAAACCAGGAAAATGATCTTGCAGAGTATTCTAAATGACTAGATAACATTGCATTGGCCAAGAAAAAGGAACTATTGCAATTAAAATGCAAACTAAGAACATTTTAACTGTGGTAATGGTTATGATAGGCCATATCTAACAAAGGTCTCAAAGACAGAATCTGCAAGATTTGGACACACATCAAACAAAAACATTTATAGAAAGGCCCAAAGTGAAGTTTACGTGCCAGATGGTACAGTCACCCTCCTCATCTGAAGTGAATGAGAAAGAAGACAATGGCAGGGAAAATTAATAGCTCCATTTTTACCAAGTAGAATATAAACTGATGGCTAGAAATTCACAATGGGATGTCTAAAGGAGACACAATGATTTTAGTCTGAAAAGTGAAAAGACATTTAACTATTTGCAAACAGTGAATCTCTAAAGCACACAAATGTTACAAATCAGTACTTTGGGTTAAGTACTCGGATACAAACTCTGCTATCTACATTAATACATTATGTTTTCCGATTGTGAAAAGCTAAAGCAACCCCAAGATGTGTAAATTTTACAGAATGGAGTGTGAGTATTTCTTTGATCTACCATTGCTAATATTCTAAAGGTCTTAAAAATGGGACCAACAGGCAGGAATGGCAGTGGAAATTAGCAAAGCAATAGTTAAAATGTCAAAGGAGTACACTGCTACTTCCTTGACTATACAGGAACCACTTAGTGTATTTGCATTAAATGGAGTACTTCAATAAGCCACACGAAAATTGAAGTCAGGTAAAGCAGAGGGACATCACGAGCAATGGGGGGAGAGAGAGAGAGGTCATAGTATTGTTTCCCCGATTGCCCTGATAAGGACAGAAAAAGGGGCTCATCAACCCCCAAAGTCATTTGGAAGTCCCTTTCTAAGAAAAGGCATCCACAATATGGACTGCTGCAGTTTGCTCATCTTTATGCCTGAAATACACACTGGAAAGCTTGTGCAACAACTACAAAAAAACCCATAGTTGCCAAAAATTATCTCCATTGCCTTACTTTTCCTCTCCTGCAACTCTGTTTCTAACTAACTAGTCAAGAGCCCAACTTTTTGTTTCTCTGGAATAAAACTAAACATTCACCTTTAAGCTTGTCTAGTGTGAAGAGTCATTTCAATTAAAGCTAGCAAGACAAATTGCTGCTCCATAACTAGCAGATCTGTACACATTTGTATGCACAGGTATCCCATAAAGATACTGCCACAACAAAAATAAATTAGGAACTTCAGACATGACTTCCACCAAGCCAGACAGATCCAAGTGAAAATCTTCCCTCACAGATGAAGCCAGCATAGATCAGTGTCTGCTGTAGCAAAAGAAGGTAAGGCTTACTAAAATACTTGCTTCTCATGAACTCTAGAGAGTTCAATTTTGATTTGTAGGTGAGACTAAACAGAGATCTAGTGAGGTGAAAAAACAGAATCTAAGAGAGAAATATGGAGCTCCCACAGAAATCCCAAGGATACTCCCTTTAAGGCATTCCTGACGATGTGAGAAGAAAAACAGGTGAGAAGAACGCTGCAGAATTTAGGTAAGGAAAAAGACGTAAACACCATCGCGGTCACCTCTGTGGAGAGCAAGTGAAATTTTGAAAAAGACAAGGATAAAATAGGCGTTTTAAGTTAGGACCAGAGAGATTTGATTAGGTCACCTCTTCAGGTGATTTATACAAACTTTTTCATTATCCTTTGAATTCCTGCTGTACATCACTCATTTGCAGTGAAAAGCTGAGAGACAGTGCTAACTCAAAAAGGAAAAGGAAACCATATTTTAAATGACTATCTGCAAGGCTAGACATCAAGTGATAGAAAAATTCTGAGTAAACCCTTGAAACAGTATAAATAGTTATTCAAAGTCAAATCTCATATAACTTTACTTGAGAAATTAAGAGTAAGTCACTGAAATTTTAGTTTATTGGGTAGTAGCAAGGGAATAGGAGAACACTAGAAAGTGCTAGATAAAACACAAACGGCTGTTCACAATCTACCCGCACACAGCCTTTCAACAGCAAATAGTTCTGCTACTTTTTACTTGAGACTCTCAAACCACTAATGGTAAATAAATTAATGCCAAATTTGTTTCTCTTAG